AGAGAGAGAGAGAGAGAGAGAGAGAGAGAGAGAGAGAGAGAGAACAAAAAAATTACCAATCAATGTACTTGATTTAAACTGCCTTCAAATATTTTCCAGCTTCTTGAGAATCCAGATTTGTGCTCCCCTGAGATTTGTTCATTGCAAAGAGGTGCTCATTGTAAGAGACTTCAGTTTTTTATGTAGTTGCCTCATGGTTCACACACTTTTTTCAGCAAGGTCTCATATTTGTTTCTGAATTTCTACAATCTGAATTCCTACGCGGAAAAGTATTAATATCTTGAAAAAACTACTTGTTTGACAAACAGATCTCTCTGTTACAGTGTGGAAACTAATTAAATGCACACAGAAGTGCTTAGATAAGTTAAAAAAAGCACATTAAACTACAAAACATCACGCGGTCCAGATCATTTGAAAGGACAACAAGACAAAATTGTTCTCGTGTGTGCAGACATCAGTTTTCTTCGGTGTGGGCAGAGTACACAAAGTCAGGAAAATGGACGTTAATCATTCGGTGATTGCAGAAGGAGTAAAGATGGAAGCTGCTTGACCTCAGGATTACTGAAAATTGTTTAGTTTAGATAAAATATATATTTTAGTCAGCACTTTAGTCTGTGGTAATAGAGCTGTAACAGTAAGGGGTACACATGTTTTAAAACTAAAATAAATTTTCCAAGGATGTACACATTGCTCTTTTAGTTGCAGTAAGTTATGCTTTGTCATGAATTGCATTTCTTTGTAAATAATTTAAAACTGCTTGTTATGATTCTTTAGAGTCAGTAGGACAGCACATAGTTCCTTGGAGAGCTGTCTCATAAAAGTGTAATAATTTCTGCTTATTTACACTTCAAACCGCCTTTATGTGGTTTCTTGTGTTTTATATTCATCATTATAAAGTGTGTTTATTGGGGAAACAGACAAGAGGAGCTCTTTGAAAACACAGCCTTCAGTAAGGAGCAATTGTTAAACCTGCTAGAAATGAAAATCTGTAGTAATTATACTCTAACACTGCTTGTTACAGACGAGCAGGAATCAGTTAATTTCTGACATGTTTATGGTTCGTACTGTGCAACAGATTTACAGTTTGCAGTTGGGGTTTATCTGTGCTCCCAGCTGTGACTTCCGTGTTCATCTTGTTTCTTCTATGACCAGTTTTACCCCTTTTACTAAAGGAACGATACACTGTCATACTCTGTTTGCTATAAGTCTGACTGATGCATTTTGCACCGACTGTCTCTGTTTTATGAACTCCTGTGGTGTGTGTGTGTGTGTGTGTGTGTGTGTGTGTGTGTGTGTGT